ACCATCCCACAACTCTGACTTTAAATGGAGTGAGATTTATCTCTTACTTTTTTTTATCATACGCAWTAGATCGCCTCTGGGTCTGCAAACATGCATATTAGATTAGAGCTTGTCAAAAAAAAGTTTAAATATGTAACTTGTTTATGTAAATTATGGTAATAGAAGTACAAATTATAAGTTTCTATATGTGACCCATCACATCGAAATGAGGATTAAGTCCAAAAGTGGTGTATGGAGAAAAAGGCAAATATAGTGTTTTGACTAAAATGTTAACAAAAATTACATTTTGTCAAAATATAAAGAATAAAAGCCTTATCAATGTATCTTTTGAATGAACTKCCTGAAATATAATCATAAAACAAAAATTTGAAGCACTTTTTTTAGAAGTAGCAACCAAAAAAACTGATTTTGAGGAAAAACGCCTTAAAATTTTGAGATTTTCCCTATGAGCTAGCAAAGTTTTGTTTCTTTTTAGCTGGGAAATCTCAATATTCAAATATAACTTGAGGTTTCCTCTTTATAACAACATCAAAAATTCCTCATTAAAAGGACATAAAATTAGGATTCAGACCAAATATTTATGTATTATTGTAACCAACAAGACAAATTAAGTCATATATATGGNATGTATTATTGTAACCAACAAGACAAATTAAGTCATATATATGGATTTAATTATGATATCAGAATGATCCAGGTATCAAAATGTAGCTTTTAAAGCCAAGAATCTGAAAATGTAATTAGGTCATTTTGACCAAATTTGACTTAATCCTCATTTTGATATGATDGGTCACAAATGTATATTTTTCTTTTATTTAGCATGAGTTTTGAGCTGTTTCGGGGATTATTTAATATTTATTTTTGTTTCTCTAACTCCCTTGCAGCTCCTAAAACTTTAAATGAATTATAACCAGTTTCAAAGCTATTCGAATTATTTTTATTCAGTCAAAATAGCAGCGCCACATCAGAACCTGGTGATAAATGGATGATAGCAAACATAATCAGGCTGCTGAATGAATTTTCTCTCCGAAACCGCAGAGACAAATCTGAAAAGGATATGAACCCACATACACACCGCACGTTGCTGTTAGTCAAACAAAAATTACCTAAATATGCATTTTGAAAAATAAACCCATTTAGAGGCAGCTGCAGAACAGACGCAGTGAAACGATGTTGTGACTTGCCTGCAAAGCAAAAATGATGAGAATCGTCGATGTGCATGCTKCGCAGTACAAAGTTTGACACAAAGTAAATACCAGTGAGTGCGGCTGTGCTGTAGTGAAAGTCTCGGTTCAAATATAATTAAAAAACTTCTTGCAAAGGAATAAATTAAAGGCTCCCTGTAGCCCTGATAACCCCAGCATGGCAACAGGCAGGGGTTTTAACTGTCTTCTAATGGGCCTGYTAAAAGGCCCTTTAATATGTTTTCTCTCTTAAATCATCAGAACTCCCTTTTCAGTAACCCCAGTAATGATCTTTATCAGGGAGGGAACAAGAAAATGTTCACAAAGGATAGAAGGGGAGGGAGAAAAATGCCAGTGGCGATGGTACTTGGATGGGCTAAAGGCTAATTGTGTCTGAAATGAGATTTTAAGGGTTTGAATTAGCAGAGTGTGCAGCACATGGCAGCTGAGAAATGGAAGGAAAATGGAGGGAATATTGGAGCAGGGCACATGCAGATAAGCATGTCAGCTCTGCGAGAGTCAGAAAGTGTTTGTGTAGCTCTTCAAACCACACAGGACACTAACGATTGTTTAAACTGACCTAAGAGGATAAAACCTGTCATAACTTGGTTTTATTGTGTGAATAATGATTCAGCTTTCATACTAGTTTTTTATTTATATGTGCATTTCTTTTGCAATCTAACTATTTTTCCATACTTTGCACATTATTAGTTATTCTTAGCAAGTATATCAAAAATGATCAGCTTGTTCAAATGCCTTAACTTTTGTTGGGAAACAATCATAACTCCCTTTTATTAAGTTCTTTCAAAATTATTGTTCTGTTTGAAATTAGCTTCAACATACTTGCTCTGTTTTGTCTTCTTTAGCTGCTTTTAGTTTGGGGGCGGCTGTGGCAGAGTGGTTAGGGGAGTCGTTCTGGAACCGGAAGGTCGCTGGTTTGATCCCCCGTCCAGCCGTCTCAGTGGTTGTGTCCTTGGGCAAGACACTTCACCCACCTTGCCTACTGATGGTGGTCAGAGGGTCCGGTGGCGCTGATGCATGGCAGCCCCACCTCTGTCAGTGTGCCCCAGGGCAGCTGTGGCTACAGTGTAGTTTGCCATCATCAGTGTGTGAATGTGAGTGTGAATGTGTGAATGTTGTAGTGGTCACCCTGGGTGGAATAAACGTTCCACCTGCCTTTGAACTTGACCACGGAAGGCCTCCTTTAAAG